AACAACTGTAAGTGATTGTGATTTATATGATCAAGTTAAAAATTTTAATACTCTCTGCAGTCACAACTTATATATAAATCCATCCAGTATTTGAGTGTGATGATGTGAAAATCAGGATTCGTTTCTAAATCTAAGTACTGCTTTGAGAATTTTGTTGGTAATTCCAGTTGCTGCTGCTTCAGCAGAAGGAAGCTTCTCCAAATTAAAATTAATTAAAAACTTGCTAAAAACTATGTTGACTCAAGAAAGGTTTTCTCTTTTTTTTGCCATTTTGTCAGTAGAATTCATGTTAAGTATAAGAACATCATCAGGCCGGGCTTGGTGGCTCACGCCTGTAATCCCAGCACTTTGGGAGGCCGAGGCGGGTGGATTGCCTGAGCTCGGGAGTTCACAACCAGCCTGAGCAACACGGTGAAACCCCATCTCTACTAAAAAATACAAAAAATTAGCCAGGCCTGGCGGCATGCACCTGTAGTCCCAGCTGCTCGGGAGGCTGAGGCAGGAGAATTGCTAGAACCCAGGAGGCAGAGGTTGCAGTGAGCCGAAATCACCCTACTGTACTCCAGCCTGGGTGACAGGGCAAGACTCCATCTCAAAAACAAAAAAAAACATCATCAGTACTCCCTGGAATGAAGCCAAGAAAAAATATTTTTATGGAATAAATACATAATTTATTAAATGTGTCTGCGTGTGTGCGTGCCATTCATCTGCCATCACCAGCCAATTAACAAATGACCCTGGTATGCACAATAATAACTAAGTTAAGTCATCATTGGTAGTTTGTCAACTTTCGGTCATGTGAAAACCACAGCTTTTCAATATTTTTCCAGATAAAATAGTATGGAGGTTCCTAAAGAAATTAAAAATAGAACTACCTTATAACCCAGCAGTCCCACTTCCGGGCATATACCCAGAGGAAATGACATCACCATCTAGTAAATATATCTGCACTTCCATGTTCATTGCAGCATTATTCAAAATAGCCAGGATATTGAAACAACTACATTGTCCATCAGTGAAGAATGGATAAAGTATAATGTGTATATACAGTGGAATATAATTCCACAGTAAGAAGAGGAGATCCTGCCATTTACAACATGATACTAAGTGAAATAAACCAGCGCAGAAATATACTACATGATCTCACTTACATATGGAATCTTTAAAAAAAAAAAAAAAAAGAAAGATTGAGGTGGGGAGTGGTGGTGGCTCACTCCTGTAATCCCAGCACTTTGGGAGGCCAAGGCAGGCAGATCACCTGAGGTCAGGAGTTCGAGACCAGCCTATAGTGAAACCCCATATCTACTAAAAATATAAAAATTAGCTGGGCATGTGGCACACGCCTGTAATCCCACCTACTCGGGAGGCTGAGGCAGGAGAATAGCTTGAACCCGGGAGGCAGAGGTTGCGGTCAGCCGAGATTGTGCCACTGCACTGCAGCCTGGGCAACAGAGCAAGACTCCGTCTCAAAAATAAATAAATAAAAATAAATAATAAAATATTTTAATTTTGGGGGGGGCAAGTAGATTACTTGAGATCAGGAGTTTGAGACTGTAACCAGTTTAGGATTACAGTATTATTGGCTGGGCGCAGTGGCTCACACTTGTAATCCCAGCAGTTTGGGAGGCCGAGGTGGGCAGATCACGAGGTCAGGAGATCGAGACCATCCTGGCTAACATGGTGAAACCCCCTCTCTAC